TGGAGAAATTTGTTTAATCTGATGCAGTAAATTACTCTGACATTGAGTTTTATTCTTCTTCTTTTTTTGTATAATTCTTTTGTCTATCTGTAACCAGAGGATCCAGCTTATTCATGAAATCGAGCAAATTATTTAATTTAATGCAGTAAATTGCTCCACATAATATTTCATTTGTCTTAGATACATTTTGAAAAGGTTGGATATGTAAAAGGTTATTCGTGCTAAGTTTCAGGGGGTAAACCATATTTCTGCCTTTATGAGGTTATATCTTTTAAATATATGTCTGATACATCATTATTATACATAGTCTTTTGAATGTTTGCTTGAAATTATGGACGCAAAATTTATACATAACAAGTTAATTTGACGCGTGCTTCGGGTAGATGCAATAGTTTACACAAAACAAGTATTGATTTTTCTATGTGAAAAGAAAGGTGTCAAGCTTTTGGATATTTTACCTTCATGACTTTTCACAATATTAAAATTAAAAAAGTATTTATGCTACTTTCATACTTTGGTTGCAATCACTTGCAGCATTGCCAGAGGATACAGTAAATGCAGAAATATTTTCTTGCTCATGAACATGCCAAAGAAGAAAAATTCAGATTTTTCTTTCCACTATTTCACAATTTCTTAGTATAAAAGGTAGTCCATGAGTTTATCTATATTTAGACTTTAGGAGAGTTAATTGCATATTTTTATCCATCTCTTTTGTGTAGAACAATTGAATAAAGGAAAAACATTATACATTTAAACATATTTCATTTTTCAATTTTGTGCATGTTATTATGCTAACCAAAGCAAATTTATGAATTAACCAAGATGTATGTTATTTTAGGTGTTTTTTTTGTCACAAAAATAGCTGTAGTTTAAATTTGTTATAAACCAGCAAATCATTTATAAAATTATTTAGTATGTCTTAGCGACTGCGCGAAGCGCAGACAAATTTACTAGTCTAAAAGATAGTTTTTTACCCAGGTAAATGAGGGAGGATTAGAATAACACCTTTTCACATTCCAATTTTTATTTGTTTGGTTCTTTGAGTTTTAACGGTTATAGTAATAACTTTGTCTATCCTTTAATTATACTTCACTATAGTATACTATATAAAAGTAGACACCAAAGTATCAAATCACTTCATTGCTTTGTCTTTTTTCTTCTAGGTTTCTATTCTCAAGATGAATTTCTTATGGTAATTGTTATGATTCAACAACAACAACAATGATGAAGATCCAATTAAATTTTACTGGTGAGGTCTGAGGAGGATAGTGTGTACGCAGACAGATTTGGACACTTTAGTTTGTGAATCTAATTTGGATACTTTAGTATGCAATTCTTTCCTTATTTTTATTGGTTAAATATGCTTCTTTTAGGATGACGGTATACTATAGGATGATTTTGACACACATAAGGAATAGTGAAGTCTACGTGTAAGAATCATTTTCTTTCATTCTTTTGTGCTTTCTTTTTGTTATTTATTAGAATTACTCTTTTTTTGTTTTGTCTCTCTAAACTCCTTCAAACCTTTAATTGTGATTTTATTATTATTGAGGCTGGTGTTGGCGGCTATAGTATTACTCATTGTGTAGTTGAGAAAATAAATCACTCTACTATGATTAAATCTGGTTGGCTACATTGTGCCTTATATCTTGGATGATAACTCAATAGAAGATAACATTAAAGCACTTAATTGACGTTAGGTCGGAGCATTTTATTTGGCTTGCTTTATAATATGGCCATCTGAAGATTATTATATTGTATTTAATTCAATAAATCTTTGCATTAGAGATTGATCTGAAGTGAAAAGATAGAAACATAAAATAGGATATGACTAAAATTGATGCATAAACAAAGATCATATTAACATAATGGCAAGAAGAAGATAAAATGGAAGAAGTTCAGGTGAGAACGAGTACTTATATCCAATTAAATTAAGTAGTGAGAAGGTATAATATGACTTCTTATCTTGCAAGTAATTTTCAATTCAAATATGAACTCATTATCTTTAATTTGAAGTCAACATCCGATAAGTCATTTTTGAATATGGATTTGGAGATTTAAAAAAATTAAGCATTATGTGCTGCTCTATGAAATAATTCAATAAATTTAGAGGCTATGGTTATTTCCAACTTACTACAATCTATTATTTGTTATGAAGTAATATTTAATTTTGATTTGCGCAGTAAAAATGATATGATTGCACAAAAATAATTTGCTTCGAGGTTATGAAAAACATTACTTTAATAATTTTTTTCTATAATCTGTGTATGAGAAAAGTTAATTTTGTTATATTTGAAGTTTATAAATGGCTTCAGATTTTATAATTTTGCAACTAATTTATTTGAGATTTTCACTAAGAAAAGTTCCTATTGTTCTCATAATTAATATCTTTTGTTGTTTCCATCCCTCATTAGCTCTAAATCAATTATATGTTTCAGATTTAATTTTTTGTGTAGGGAAGAGTCCTACCTCGTGAATTTTAAAAAAGTATGTTCCATTTTGTCCTTTATGCTAATTAGTAAAAATTAAGAAATAAATGTTGTATGTTTTTTTAGACTCATTATTTTGGCATATAATGTCGCCATGACTTCACCTCCAAATATTAAGATTGAATTACCAAATTGTCCATTAAAAGTAGAGCGACCATTTATCCTTCACCCAAAAAATTCTTATATTAAATGAATAATTTCAGCTGTATTTTGTAATTATTAGCCAACCTCTTAGTTGGTGTTTTAAAGAAAAAACTTCTTCGTCAGTTTTACAATCTGTAGGATACGAGGAGTTATATTAAGTAAATTAATGCTGGTTAATTCTATTAATTAATAAATATGTGAAAGTGTCAAAGACACCAACTAAGAAAGAACTATATAAAGGTTTCCATTAATTTCCCACAAGTACACTTTTGGGCAGTAGATTTTCTTTGATCTTATATTTTTGTTTTCTTTCTTTTTTCCTTTCCTTTCCTTTCTTTTCCCTTGAAGAAAGAAGCATGTAGATATGTTGGATTTCAACTCCCATTACTCTCAACTTCACGGATGATGAAAATCGCCTATAACGCTAGCGGAGACTCGTGACATATGGAAGGCTGGTTTCTTCAAAAGGTTTAAGTATATTATGATTACAATTTTTTGAGATAAAAAAGAAAATATATAGTATTTGATAGTAATTATTTATGACAAAATAAAGGGTATTATTTGGGTATTTGGAGGTCGTATCAAATGGTTGACCACTTCACTTTTCATGTTTACCTATTTTCAAGATTTCGTCTGTTGTCATTTTTATTAAGGTTTAGATCTTTAGATTTTATGAGTTTTATTATGACGGTAAACATTATAAATTTGAGCAGTAGTACTTTTTTATCAGTCGATGACTGGTTGATCTTGAAAGAGATAACTATAATTGAAACTGTTGCGAAAATACGTATGAAAATTTCAAGCAAGAAGTTTCATAAGTATGGATAATTGAATGTTCCTTTCTTTTTTTCTTTATATAGTATACAAACAAATTAAAGACGCAACTATTACTTCCAATCATACACATCACTCAAGAAAGAAAGTTAAAAAATTAAAGATATTAACCGATAAACAATGGTTAACTTTTTGTATGCTATAAATTTGTTTAAACTCAAACACTTTAGAACATTATGCAATTTAATTGATAATTTTAGGCAAAATACATAGTTTACCCATCAATCTTGCAGCGAAATCTCTTTTACACACCTCTCTTTACGGAATTTTTTTTACATATTCAACCTTTCAAAAGTGTGTTTTAGACACACTACTTTTATGCTTGACTTTTTTAGATAACGTGAAAGACATGCGCTAATAGGGTCGTGACATGTGTCATTGACTTTAAAAAGGAAAAAAATATTAGAAATTAAAATTAAAATCCATCTTTTCATTTATCCATTTTCTATCTTACGTACCATTGTTGCTACCATCATGGTTGTTTGTGAGAAAATTTCCAATACCACCAAAATTCAACCACACTATCTAAACAAGTAGTCGAAAATAATCGAGCAACAAATTGAGTTCAATAACCCAATAATCAACAAGACCCAATTGAATTTTCAAACTCTTTCGATACTCCAACAATGGTGGATTCTAGATTTTTTCACCAAACTTTCAATACTACTGTTAAAGCTTTTAAATCTATTACATAAATAGTTTTCATAATATTTGGACAACAAATGAACAAAATTCGCTTAATTTTAGATCTAAAATTAATATGTTCTTTCAAAAATTCTATTTGGGGAAGAAAATGAGGAGGGTGGTGAGGAAGAAGACAAGAGGGAGGGGGAGGGTTCCTGTGGGGAGGGGAGATCGGTTTCACGCGCTTTATTTGTGTGTAAACATGCAAGTGTTATTTGGTCAAAAGTAGTGTGTCTTAGACGCACTTTTAAAAGGTTGAATGTGTAAAAGGTTTCTCATGAAAAAATGTGTGTAACGGAGATTTCACTGCAAGGTAGATGAGTAAGCTATGTATTTTGTTATAATTTTATTTATTTGCTACAAATTAAGTAATGATGAATATCAGGTGAACACGTGCGTGTCCAAAAGCTAGTAAAGATAATATATCTGAACATGAGACACAACAAATTAATTTTAGGGTATTGTCATTAAAGGTTTTAAGGTTCCTTTTTGACTTTTTACTTAATAGCTTTAAGTATTTTTTATAATTCCTATTTTTGAAAGATAATAAAGTTTCAACATGTTTATTATGAGTATTAATATTTTTTAAGAGTTATCAATGTATAACGTTATTAGTTCTGTAATTTAGAATTTAAATGTATCTTTTAGCTTAGAATATTAATTATTTTAATATTTATTAACTAATTGTTTTTTGAATTTGAAGTGTAAAAGATATGAAAGTACTAATTTTGGAATATAGACCATTAAAATTATTATTCTGGACTGTTGTTGGTGTATTAATAATTTTTTTTATTAATTAAAATATATAGCGTATCATTTATTTCAATTACAACCTTTAATGGAGTAAATATCGGTAACAGTGGCCGTCAGTGAAAGTCAAGAACCAAAAAACAAGGGAAGAAGAGCACCGGCAAAGATTCACCCCAGTTGGCTTCGATCCTGAATCAACACTATTTTCCAGTTGATGGACAAAGCAAAAGCCCCTGAAGTTAAGGATTCTGTACCGAAACTTTACTCCAATCCTAATTCCGAAGCTAAATATTACAGCCTCTCGTTTCAGGCATCGGGTACGTTTCTCCGTTGTGAATTGTGATGGGCTTGTGAATTGTGATGAGTTATTTATAGAGTAGGGTTTGTTTTGTTACACAGTATTAGCTATTAAGAAGAGAAAGCCTCCCAGCTTGGTGAGCTTGTGTCTTGGAGTTATTGGCAGACATTTTGAGGATATCCTCGAAGATCTCACCGACATATCTGCTAATTTTCCCTCCAATCTGAAGGTTCAACATTCTTATGCCCGCTTTTATTATACTTATTTTCTACAGATTGGTAAACGTGAATACTGCTAGTTTTTAGTTGGCAATCATTTAACCCGACAACTTCTGCTTCTTCAATTAACCATATGTTCTTTTTCCATTCCCTTAAGATGATCAGGTTTTCAATCCATAAAATGGCAAATTACGAATGTCCTATATCCTAGTAGAGCAAGCTCAAATTTTGGCAAGTTTGTTACTCCACCATATTAAGGGTGAAATTAATAGTGAATCAGTGTTTCCCTGGAATCTTTCTTCCAACTCTTGACAAAAGACTGCTCCTTGGCTATCAGAGAATNTATATATATATATTGACTGCATTAAGGGAAACAGGCACCCAAATTTACAAAAAGTGGTATAGGAAGATGCAGATTCCTTAATGTACTATAAGGTTCCTAAAACATCAATAATGGATTCTGGATCTTCCAAATACTCTTGTTTACAGCAAAAGTGGAGAAGGACTAAACATTGCATTTTCAATTTCTGGATAATGCTGTCTTCAAAACATCTTTGGTTTCTCTCTACCCAAACTGTCTACCAAATGCAAGGTGGGACAATCTTCCATCTCTCTTTTTGGTTGGGGGAAGTACCATTTTTTTCCAGCATCTTAGAACATCCAGTGTACCCCTAGGCATCACCCACATGATCCCTTTCAGATTAATGAAAATCCTCCATATTTGCTCTGTAATCCTGCAGTGTAAAAAAAGATGGTTGATTGTCTCAGTTTCTTCACCACATAGGTAGCATCTGGAGCATAGTTGAAAGCCCCTCCTGATGAGATTGTCCGGAGTCAAAACTGATTTTTTAGACAACAGCCAAGTAAAGCAGGCAACTTTAAGTGGAATTTAGACTTTCCAAATTAGCTTCCATGGCCAGGAACCAATCTGGTTGTTGGTTAGGTTGAATTCCTTGTATGCTGATTTGATTGTGAAGTTTCCTTGCTTGTTCCCTTGCCATAAGATACAATTTTCAGAGAATGTTAACCCCTTGATTCAATGTGTTGTAGAATTCTTTTATCCTTGCAATTTCCCAGTCGTTAAGTAGTCTTCTGTAGCTGAAGTTCCAACCTTGAGTTGACCATATCTCTCCAACAGTAGCTCCTTCTTGTAGGTTCAAGTTGTAGATGTCAGGGTATAGCTCCTTTAGTGTGTTTTGGCCAAGCCAGTTGTCTTCCCATGCTATCTTGCAAAACTATTTAATGACATTACTTTAATATGCTGATTTGTGTCCTAGCTATTTATCTCGACTCTAATTTTTTCTTGTTACTTGAACAATCTGTTCTAATTGTTAGATGGCCCTTGTGGCAATTGCAAGAAGGAGAAGGTTATTGGATGACAATGTTATTGTTGCATTGGCTGATAGCTCCTGGGAAATTCTGGACTTGTCTGGCTCAGAGGTTTCTGATATTGGCCTATTACAAGTGGTTGAAACATGCAAACATCTGCAAGCAGTTGATATAAGGTATTGCTTTTTTGATCATTTCATTACTTGAGGGTTTCTTTGTTTTTAAAAATAACATGCAAGTGGGATAAGGATTTTCTGGTTTGACTTCCTTAATGGATATGCATGGTGCACCAACTATGGCTTTCTACACAACATCTCTCATTTCTGCTGAGGCACACTAAGTTTTCTTGTCCTATGTCAAAATTCTGCAATCAGTAAGGAGCAGGGCTCTCAACTACTAGTAAACTAAGTCAAGTAGTGTACTGATTGTATGGCTCAGAAATCAGATAATGGGGCGTTAACTCCCAGAAAATTAGGTTATGAGGCGTTAACTCCCATTTTCTATTCTTCTTGCTTTCTCTAGCTAGTTCATGATCTTGTACTCGTGTGAACAATTTTATGCTAAGTACTGTTTTTGAATTTCATTTTTCTTTAAAGTTGCATTACACACTTTGTGCAGGGTACACTATCACCTATTTCAGTCCTTTTTCTGCTGCTCAACTTAAATTTGGTTTTGAAATGTAAAGCTAAATGTGAACATCCATTGTCACAGTCGCTGCAGCAAGCTCACGTCAGCTGGTGTATCAGAACTCTTGCAGAAATGCCAGTCTCTTGAAATACTGAGATGGGGGTAGGTTCCCTTTCTTAATAAAGTCACTTCTTTCAGGCATGAAGCTTTAAAAAATTGTATGTAACAATTACAAGATCCAGTTTCTTGAATTTCTCCTAAGCTAACATTTCAGAAATGATTTTCTGGTTACCCTGTCGTCCATTTGGTTTTCTTATAACTGCTGCTTATAACCTGTGGGCCTTTCCATGTTAAGTTCTGGTTTAGTTACCAGGGAGTACATTCGGTATTAAGATTCTCCTCGAATATGTGCATAGTAAGCATTTGTTGGCTATGTTTTAGATATTTGAGCTGGCCTAATTTGATGCATTTGGTTTCGCTGTGTAACCCAATCCTTGTTGTCCTCAATATATTCATGTTTGAAGCAGTGCGTGCATGTGTAGAAGGCATAGAGGAGGCTAGACAAGCAAATGGCAAAAAGCTGTGTTGATTGATTCTAGATCCAATATGTTTTGTCTCATTTTGATTCTGCACATTACTTGCTATGAAAAATCTTATAGTTTTTGATCATGTTCTTCGACAGGATGACTAGCGCATATATATATATATATTGCATGATTGTTATTCCTTACAGAGTTTGTGTGAGGTTCTTGTTATTTTCTATCCTTAGGACTATAATGGTCAAACATTTGAGGTTTGGCATTTCATCCTTGCTTTTGCTTCTTGTCATTAATTATGAGCTTTCTTTTTCAAGTGGGTATATTCTGGGGGTAAGGACTTCTATGTTTTAATGCATGCATCATATATATAAATTATGCAATTTAACATTATCTTGAATAGTCGCTTGCCATGGTTTTCTTTTGTTGGCTTTAACTTCTCATCACTTTCATGTAACGACATAATATAATGACGCATCCTACATGATAAGCTTGGCATGCTTAAACGCATGGGTGTTGTCCTGTTGTAAGGAAGTTTCGGCTTATTGACTAGATCTGTTTTGATTCCTAAGGATTTTTCTTGTGAATCCTCTAGTTTCCCTGTGAGCCTGCCTTACTAGAGTCTGTCTGTGAAGCTAGCCAAAAGACGTTCTAACGGGGAATACAAAAAAGGAAAAAGAAAAGAAGAAGGAACATTGCATGTTTCAACTATTTACGCCATATCATTTGAAGTGTTTCTACGAAAGAAATCCCTTGTGAAAAACCTTGGTTCATCATATGTCTTGCTTGATAAAATATATTTCAAAGATCTTTTCTCTTCTCTCTCTCTCTCTCTCTCTCTCTCTCTCTCTCTCAGTAAGTAAAGAAAATGTAAAAATTAACCACATAACTGGAATGAGTTGGAGTTAATGTTGCAGAGGCTGCCCTCGGAGTGAGAACACAGCTCGTAGATGCTTCGCTTTGTTGAAACCAACACTAGAGCATGTGGAAGGAGAGTCATGGGAGGAACTCGATACCTCAGAAATAGCGCATGGTGCGACATCCTTGCGTTGGCTTTTATGGGTATGAATTCTTTTTGTTCAGGCTTGCAACTTCGTCTTTCTTGTTAGGAGTTATGCATGTGACTTCCTAACTGGAGTAGCAAAGTAGATTATCTTTTTAACCTCCAGTTTCATTGATTTTCCCTTATCCCCGGCTGCCCTGGAAGTAGTCTTCTGAGCTCAGAGTTCATCTTTATCTAATCCTTTTGCAGCCAAAAATTGAAAAGGACCAGCTGGAGAGTTTGTCTGACGAATGCCCACGAATCATAGTAAATCCAAAGCCGTCACCACTGGGTTACAGGGGGGTTGATGTTCCTAGAGGAGCAAGACTAGACGTATCATTAGATGATCCCTTTGTTGAAGATATCGACCCCAAAACCTGGGCTGTATCTGGATTTGTGCCTAGAACATCAGCATCATCAGTTTCAAGCACAGAAGAGTTGCCCGTGGCGGAAAAGTTTAGACTTGCATTTCTAGAGAGAGATAATCGGCTAGCACCAAAGCGAGCAAAGAATGCAAGACAACATCAGCGACGTGCAGAAAAGCAGTGGGTAATGATGAATAGTAGGGCAAAAGCACTAGCACTTGCTTCGCTGGCTAGCAAATCGCTGAACATTCGGAACTGAAAATAGATGTGTACTTCTATAAACTTGTATTTCATCTTTGTCAGCCAATAGAAAGAGCTTCTGTTTAGCAGCAGTTTGACAGAAGCAAGCAAATTATAAGCAAGCCTCACGTCGGTTAACTGGGAAAGCCTTTCTTTGCAACTGCTGTTGAGAGGAAGGCAAATATTTCGTGAGCTTCCAACAAAGTAAAACATACAGTAGTTTCTTTCAGGCAGTGGAAGAGTGTATTTGGGTCATCACTGTTGAAAGGAAGGCCACTGTCAAGCGAGCTTTCCTCCCTCTGGTCAATCCTTTGGTGAGGTCCGTGTATTATTCTTGGTAGTCGTTTCCTGCATGTGTGTACAATTGTACATTATATTTTTTGCTGCTGAGGATAATGAATTTCATTTGCTTCCCATACTAAATATTATTAACAACTTTTTGAGCACACAGTTGCGATTGTTTCAAGGTTTGCCTCGGGAGTACATGGAAGCTTTCATTGTCTGGCCGAAGCTATAATCCTCTTATGCACGGGGAGCTTTCCTGATCAATTTCTATTAAGTTAAAGAGTTATCTAGTGCACGAGAGATACTGTATCCACGGTTGGGAAATTAGTGGGGGGCAAACGGGCAGATCAATGTCGGATGGGGCGAGAACAGGTAATGCAAAAACGGATAAAATATCCGACCCAACCCAACCCAACCCATATTTAATATACACAGATAATGGGTTATCCAACGGTCCATGTTACTTATGGCTTCTAGAATATGATCACTCTTACAAATTGTAAAGGTTAAACCCATTAGTCGTCACTTTTTTTGAGTGAATAATATCCGTTTTATCCATATTTGACCTATTTTCAAAAAGTTTACTATTCAACTAAGTTTTTAGCGAATAACATTAATAATAATTATTTATTTTTTCATTTTGCCACTACTAATGAAAATTATATCCGCAAGGTGAAATACATAATCGATCTCTTTAAGTTGTCGACCAACTGAACACGTCAAAAATGCTAATGATCAAATAGACACTTTCTGCTAAGTAGAAACGTGTCTCTTAAAAGACTTAAACCTCTTATGCTGATATGGATAAATTTGTGTGTTTCACTCATATTGGAGCGCGTGAAAGTCTTTAAAATTACGTTTATCCTTTTTTTTTTCTTCAGAAACTTAATGTGGACCCCTACCTCCTTCTTCTCCAATCTTTTCCTCCACCGTTCGAGCGCACCAGACCTTTCTCTCCATCTTCCCCTTTCATGCCATAAAGCCACCAGGTACCGCCATCGCCAGACTTATCACTCAAACTTCACCATTTTTGGAATTACAGGGGAAGATATTTATTTTTTTTACTTTTCTTTGTTCCATAGAAACCCATAAAGAAAAAAATACACAGAAATTTCCATCACCATCACAACCTTTGTCCACCACTAAACAAATCCAAAAATATCAAATCTGAAAGCTAATTCCACTGTCATGTCCATCGCCTAATTATACACCTTTATAACATACACCTATCTATCGTAACATATTCCTCTCACCATTTTCCATTAAACCAAATACCAATCACTCACAAAACACACACCAATGACCTTTCCTTTAAATATCATCTCCAGCATTACACCACCAAAGAACCACCATCACCTCCTTCATCTCCCTTCACCCTAGATCTAGAGAAAAAATTCATCTAAAATCTTCCAATTTCACCACAATTGAATTTGGTAATTGGTTCTTCGCTGGTGAAAATCATCACTTAAGTGAGTTAGGACGATTTTTTATTTGGTTTTGAGAAAAAAAAAAAAGAAAAAAAATTGGAGGGGGTTTGGCGGCCATGGTGACCAAATAATTGGGATTTTCTTTGGGTAGGAAAAGTGAATACATAATCTGTTTCTTTATAACAAATACACATGTCATTTAATGATTTGTTCGTTTGACATGTCATCTGTAATTGTAACACACGCATAAGATTTGTTGGTCTCAGGTGTTTAATTGACCTACTTTATTAAAGGCTTGAAACGTCTAGCTGAAAATAGGCTCAATTCAAGTGTTCAGCTGGTCGTTGAGGACAACTTAAAGAGGTCGTTGATGTATTTATGCATGACGTTAAGGGTTCAAGAGGTCTAAGGATTGCATTCTTGCTTAGTCCTCTCGCAAAAAAAATCATTATGACTACCAATTTGACTAGTTACTTAATTTTTTGGTAATCGCTAGTCACTTTTATCAATGATCCCAAAGAAGAATTTGCAAAAACTGGTATTTCAAGAGAATTTTTTGGGAAATTTTCATAAACCACTATATTTTAGTAGTAATTAGTCATCTATAGATACCATTTGTTATATTACGGATTATATATACCTTTTCTGTGGTAATAAGATATATTTGATGTATTTAAGCTATTGTATTAATGAATACAATAGCAAAAATAGGCGTGAATCAGGGAAGTCCAGCTAATTAGTTGTTGTATTCGAGTGTATTTGACTGTATTCATGGAGTGAAACGTGAGATTACAGCTGGACAGATTATTGTATTCGACTGTATTCACGGCGTGAAATAGGGGATTACACTGTTTTTAAAACGGAAAGTGAATCAATTAACATAAAAGACTCCTAATATAACTCAACAAACTCAATTATAACACACAAATATTGTATTTTCAGTTATAAAAAAGATTCTCAACCGAAAAATACACAAAAAACATAGCAATCTTCAAAGAAATTATATAATACATCTGAATACATAAATTATATTAATTAAAAAAAACATATGAATACATTTATGGCATATAGCGAGACAGTGAATACAATGAAATACATAGAATACAACGGGATACATTGAAGTACAATGAAAAAAAAGACAGTGAATACAATGAAATATATGGAATATAACGAAATACATTGAATTACAATGGGAAAAAAAGGCGATGAATACAATGAAAATACATTGAAATATATTAACAGAAAATCAAGTTGCTCAGCCCCAAACTCCGTCATCTTTGTTCAAGAATAAACCCTAATTTTCGATGAATTCGCCGTTCACCGGAAGCCGGTACTGAAAACGCACCACCTTGGTCCGGCGATGGTGCCTTCAATGGCAGAAAACAACGTCAAAACCTTCAATGCCATATCTCAGAAGATGTAGAAATTACAGAAACTTATATCCTTAAATGACGAATTGATTGATAAGACGAATTAAGGATATCACAGAAACTTATATCCTTCAAAGCCTTCAAGCCTTCAATGACGAATTGAGGAAGGAAGAGGAACAATGAACTCAATTGGTGGTTTTGCCCCTCTCTGTCATTCTCCGCCGTCGATGATCACTCAAATGAAAATTTTCCGAGACAATGGAGATGAATCAGTGGAGAAAGACTAGCGTTGAGAGAGAGAGGGTGGAGAAAAATCTGAAAGAATGAGAGAAAAAAATAATACAAAGCGTATTTTATGGCTTAAGGGTAGAAGGTGACCATAAATAGATATTTGGCTATAAAAATCAAAAGGTATCTATGGAATATAGTTTTTTAAAAAGGTATTTATTTAAAATAAATAAGGTATCAACTTTTTCTCTAGGAGGTAAAAATTCCTAAATTTTTCCTTATATTTTGAGGGGGAAAAGAGAGTACAAACGTTCCCACTCAATCTTAGAGAAAACTTCATTTGTAGCCACTAGGGCCAAACTTATATCACCTGATAGCCACAAAATAACCCCTTACAAGTCATATCCTAAAAACAATAACAAAGGCTAGCAACTGAAAAAGCTGAAACTATACGCTCAACGCAAATGAAAAGGAAAGCAGTCCTAATCGATTTTGTATCCTAAATTCACGCGTTCAGTATGGGATCTTCAACCTCCAAACACTATAAAAGTCGCCCAATTATTCACATTGTGAAAAAAATTCTAGGGTTTCTGAAAATTAAACCCAGAGAAGAGCTCCAAAAAATTCACGCTGCAATTCAAAGTTTTTGCACAATTGCTGCCTACAATCAGCTTAATAGAGTTGAGATTTCGTTCTTAAATTGTGAAATTGATACAAAATCGATAAACTCAACTAATATCTATGGAATTTGTGAATGTTGGAACTACTGTTCCAATTTTGATTCCGATTTTACTTCAACACAGTGGTGAATGGGTAAGTGAGACTAAATTTATTAATTTCCTTGTTAATGGCGTATTGATCAATTCAGACTGTAGCTATGATTATTTTTTTGATGAAATATACAATCAATTGGGTCGAGATTCAATTACAAGTGTGATGGAGATAAAATATACAGTGAAAGATGACTATATAGCAATTCCAATATACAATGATATGAGTGTGCGCTTGTATATGGAGATGAAAAAGAAAAACCTAGATATCTGTCACGTCCTTAGTTGTTAACTAAGTACACGTGCGGCACTTGACAATTCGGTCACGATCTTGCACAACTTGCTCACGTTCTTGCTATGTCAAGTCAGCCTTACTACACTCAAGATCGCTAAGAGAATGGAAGAAAGAACACAAAAGAATTGTTAAAGGAAGCTTTGTATTAGAGAGAACTTGAATTGTTTGCTTGGTGAATAACAAATGAATGACCCCCTTTATATACTAGTCTCCTAGGGGCTAGTGTGTAAATATTAATTACTACACAAGTCCTTGATATTTACAAGATAAGGGCTTTTTCTAGAATTATCTACAAGCCTAGAAGATTCCAAGGACTTTCCTAGCAAATCCATAAGGATCTAGGTTCTTCCTAAGGAAATGTCCATACCTCTCTACAATCTTCTCACAAATGCTAGCCTTCTTCTTATGTAAGCTTCCACATGGCATTAATATATTCCAAATGGAGCCTATGTGTCATGATGACATGGCAGGTCATCACACTCTCCCCCACCCAATATTGCGACGACCGCGGCACAATGCTGTTGCATAAACTCTCAGATCTTATCTTTGAACTGCCACAAGTCTTCATATCGTTCCCACGTGGCCTCCTCCGGTGACTGCCCTTTCCAATGAACGAGGAACATAGCGGTGGCTTTTTGCCCTTGTTTTCGCCTGGCCTGGTAATCTGTGATAGCCTTAATCTCCCGATCATGCGAGGCGGTGATGTCATTAGCGCCCGACTTGATTGGCCCCTACTCGGATCATCCTTATCTTCATGATATGGCTTAAGCATGCTGGCGTGGAAGACAGGGTAGATCTTAAGATACGATGGCATATCAAGCTTGTATGAGATCTTGCCTACCTTGGCGACGATCTTAAATGGCCCCTCATACTTGTGAATCAGATTCTGATGCATGCCCCGTAGTGCCTTGAACTGTCTTGGGTTAAACTTCACCATAACCATGTCCCCAACTCTATAGTCTGTGGGACGCCGCTTACAGTCAGCAAACTTCTTCATCTTCTTAGCTGCCTTATCCAAGTAGGACTTAGCAGTGTCGAGTTGTTCCTCCCATCCTTTAGCCATATGATAAG